AGGTAAAATTTCTGTTGTGGATCATTTGTTGAAGAAAAAAATTTCTTTGTTGGTTAAAAAATGTTGGTTTTCTATTTCTATTATTCCTTCTTTCATGACATGACATATGTTAGCTGGTATTATTCTGTAGGGAACTATTTTATTTAAGTGTGTGTGTGTGTGTGTGTGTGTGTGTGTGTGTGTGTGTGTGTGTGTGTGGTAGGTGACTCAATAAGACCTCAAAGTATGTAAGAGTGAATCTCATAGTACTAACCATACCCTGATTAAAATTCCACACATGTGGTTGGATGCTTTCTTTAATGACTGATCTTTGACATAGATCCAAGGCTTCAAAATCTTTGGTGGAGTCCAGACCATAGATGTCTGCTTCTTCCTGGTTTCCTGAGCATAAGGAAGTCATCAATACTTTAGGAAGAATTTGTGTAACTTATCCAGAATTGAAAGTAGAGAAACATTGGTGTAAACTATACACATAATCCACTGTTTGGGGATGGCATTAACTCTGTGAGGGGACTGGTTTAGGGTACAAATATGGCAGGAATTTTTGAAGGCCAGGGTGGAATATTTGCAATTAAGTTGTTGCAGTTAAGCACTACAAAGTCTATAAAGTCAAACTTCTTGAGCATAGAGTGAGTAGGACAGGAGGAATAATAGAGAATATGCAAAAAAATGGAAGACCAACGGGTGCCAGAGACAGGTAGCAAAGGTGGCACTGGAACTCTTCAGTATTGTTTGAATTAATTATGGATTAAATACAGATTCACCTCCTCTCAGTAAAGTCTCCTACTGTGGCAGACCAGACTGAATCAAACCTCTGATAGGGACAGCTGTGGTTGTAGGCTTGGCTGTCCCCTAGGACACCCTGGGAGCCCCTCCTACTCTCCGTAGCTCACTTCCTGTGGCATATTTATCTGTAGCTCCTGCAAAGCGGAGGTGTAATACTGTTCCCACTTCTCCCTGGCAAGGAAGCTCCTGTAGAGATTACAGAAAGGGAAGGTGAGTGCCTGTGCGGGTGGGAGCCAGGGCAGTAGGGAGAGGGTAGAGACAAGGTGTTTAAATTAGAGGAGCAGTAAGTACTGGGCTGGAGCAATTTTGAGATTAGGGCTTTGGCTATATATGTATATATGAAACAATCTTTGAAGAAAAAGTCATGCTGCTCTATTGTTGTAATCTCACCTCCACTCACACAGTTCATGTAGTTTCATTTCTGACCCACTTTCTGCATCTCCTTCGTCTGTTGCCTTCAAGAGTAGCTTTAGCTCCCAACCCCAGCTAGCACCCTGCTTAAATTGCTTTAATCTCCAAGTGCTTCTTATATTGATTTTACACAGTTAAGCTGCCAGTCAACTCCTCTGCTTGTGCAGCAGCCCAGGGCAGAGAGATTAAAACAACAAACAAATAAGGCTGGGGTGAGGAAGTCGGTTAGAATTTTCAAATCCCTGTCAGCAGCTCCCAGCAGCTTCTTTTTGTCCTTTCCTCCATGGAGGTGCACATTATTATGAAGAGACTAGGCCCAGCTTTGCCATGGGAAGAGTCACCTATGCGTAATGAACAGTTGCTCTGTGCAAAGAACCGTTTTAAAGACAGTACTCATTTAATCCCCTCAATATCCCAGGAGTTAAACACTAGCATTATATTCCTTTTAAAGGAAGACAAAACAGAGGCATTGAATAGATGAGTTGTCCAAGGTCACACAACTAGTGAAGGGCAGAGCATTATGCCAATGTCAAGCTGGCTCTAGGATAGGCACGGGCAGCCAGCAAGCTCAAAAGACTGTCTCGCACTGCTACAAAATCTCTACTTGGCTGTAGTGCAGAGTGGAGTTGGAATACTATTTCACAGAAAAACAGACAGTTAGCAGTGGTCAAAGCAGAAATGAAAGGCATATATGTATATGTATATATATATACCTATATAGGTATATATATATATGTGTGTGTGTGTGTGTGTGTGTGTGTGTGTAGCCTTGAATCCAACAGGTGTGCACCAAGCCTTCATTCTGTAGAAGCACTACTCTTGACCTTGGACTTGCATCAGTGGGTATGGTATAGCTGTAGTTAACAGGAAATCTAATAGTGTAATCACAGGTAGTCCATTTACTGGGGGAGATGATGATGGAGGAAGACAGAAAGGTAGGCAGGTGATTAAGCAGCTCGTCATCCTTCAAGTCACAGCTCAAACTCACCTCCTCCAGAAAGTCTTTCCCGCAGCAACTCGGCCGCTTCCTTTTATTCTGTTAAACATGGCAACACCCGGGTCACTTGTTCATCTCTCTCACTACATCAGGGGCCAGTACATGTCATCCTGAGGTCAAATGTTGCCCAGGACTTGTTTTCATAAATAAAATCGTATTGGAACACAGCCACAGACATTTGTTTGAATGGTGCCCATGACTACCCTTGAGTGACAGCAGCAGAATGGAAGAGCTGCATCGAAGATCTATGCTGTATGAAGTCCAAACTGATTAGCTGTTTGCCCCCTTTCAGAAAATGTTTGCTAACACCTGTATTGGCCTATGGAATATTTAAGGACTGAATGCTTGCCTTCCTTTTCTGAATCTGAAGTGGCCAGAATGACAAGAGCAATGTCATTCTGCTTAAAGCTTACATCTGCCACCCTTGGGACAGCATCCTTTTATCTTGGCCTGGGGGAGATTCTTAAAATGATGGATTTCTGCTGGGCAGAGAGCTGGAGAGGGGGGTGCTAGAACTCCTACTCAGCTCTTCTGTTTCTCAGCTCAGTGCCCATCCCACCAACCACACAGCAATAGTAGGAGCGGGTTTGCAAGCAAACTCAAGCCTGCTGAAAGTTCTAAAAGAATTAATGTACATGGGGCAGAGAGGATGGGGACAGGCCGACAGAATCAGGTAGAGACAAAAGAAAAGTAGACCACAAGTGTGGTGACTTGCCGCTTTAACTTTCCTACAGGGTGATATAACTTCTGTGACAGGTAGGTCATTTTGGTTCTTCATTAGGACTCTTATTAATATGGTGTTGGAAGTCTCTAATGGCACCTGCTGTGTTAGAGATCATAAAGTGGTGTTTATAATGTCACATCTATCTTGGGAGGACAGAACAGAAGGTGGTGTGAGGGTGGGCAAGCAACAGACTGGATGCTGGGTAGAAATTACCTGCACAGTTTTCGCTTTCTGAGCTGGTAAGTGGCCCAGGGTGTTTGAATGAACACTCCATCCAAGCAATTGCTGACAAGAGGGCCATTTATCTTGAAAGAGAACAGTTTTACCTGAGTTGTAGCACCAGGAGAGGGCTTGGCTGGTCTGCACTCTGCTGGTGCCTCAGCCGGCATTTTCCCCCAAGTAGCGTGTGGGGAACAGTGCAGAGTTTTCAGTGCCCTGGCTGAAACCGGCAGAGACACCAAGCATTCAGTGGGGAGATGTAAACTTGCTGAAAGGAATGACCGCAACTCTAATTTGTATGACTAGATGATTGCTAGAGAGACAAGCTTAACTTCCTTTCACTGTTGTTCTGGAAGATCTCACCCTGTTGGATTGCTTTGTGTCTTGAATCAGAAGGCCCTGAAAGCTGTCAGAGCCTGTGTGTTCTTCCTTTCCTGGAAAGGGATGAGAATCTGCTTCCTTGTAATAGACCTGGTGGGGAGGTGGACATCAAAACTTCAGTTTTGAGAGGTGCTAGAGGTCACCTCTTTTTTTTTCTTTTTTGGTTTTGTGAGACAGGGTCTCACTATGTAGTTGAGACTGACTTGGAACTCACTGTGTAGCCCAGGCTGGTCTCAAACTCACAGTGATCCTCCTGCCTCAGCCTCCCGAGTGCTGGGATTACACATGTGCGCCACCATGCCTGGCTGGTCACCTCCTTTTTTAAAGTGCAAATCTTACCAAAGGAAAGCATAATAGCTTAGGACAAATGGACTATTATTAAAACCTTGAAGGTTGTCTACTTCAATGTAGCTAAAACCGTCTCTTTCATGCTGCAGAAGGATCCCAATCTTTTCACATAATATATCCTACGTTCTTGCAGACCACTTCCTTTCTATCCCTACCACCCACATCATGAGTATTCTTTTCTCTACATTTTATCACCCCGTTTCCTTCAACCTTCTCCATAGACATGGTTTTGTTTCCGTTTAAATTTTAATAGATTTTCTTTTGGAACATACATCTGCCTGTGCTTAATCTTCTTTTATTTGCTACCAAGCATGGATACAGTGAAGTCCTGCTCCTGTCCTCCTGATACACATGCTTCTCCAGGTAAAGGGCACCCAGAGAGGATGGCTTCCAGATATAAAAAAATTTTGAGTTCTCAAAGAGGAGCCCCCATGCCCTTATTGGAGGTTGAAGTCCAAAACCTAAGAAGTCTCTTGTGGGAAGTTTAACTGCTTTGAATCTTTCCCCCTGATTTCAGAAGTACTCCTGGTGTCAGTGGAACAGTGAGTGTTCATGTTCAGTTCATGTTGTTGTTTTTCTTAGATTTGAAAAATTCGTTCATGAGTTTTGAAATTACTTCCTCAAAGAGATTGCTCTGAATAACAAAACAAATAATAACAACCAAAAATGTAATCTGAAGAGTTGTAGTGAAAATGATTATCCTTCAGCGAGCCTCTGCCAACTTATACTATTCACCCTTGAACTCAGCCACTCTAAGTGAATACAGCCCTTTAAAGTGCAGAGCTAATTTCCCTGAGCTAAAACGTTGAGCTTGTGTTTTTGTTTATTATTTTCTCTCTACTTTTGGCAAGAGATCTTTATTCAAGTGTTTCCCAAACAATTTTATGAACAAAAGATATGTTTTCCCCTCTTTTTCTTCTTCTTGTCCAGAACTTTCTTTGAAAGACCAAAATGCAGGAAGACAGCATTTGATAAATCCAAAAACCTCAAAGCTAAAGATCTCACCTCTCAATTTCTGGGTGAGGATACTGGATGAGTTCAAAACATGAGCCTAATGGCCATGGGTTCCTTAAGGTCATCAGTCCACTTCTGCTAAATTTGAGGTCTCATCAGAATTCTTTGTCACTTTTACAGGATGTAACAACTGAAGACCTGAAAATGTGTGTACTGTTGGCATCAATTTTTTTTTTCCTGTGTGCCTTGGCTTTTCAAAATAAAATTCCTAAAAATATCAGTCTGAGCTACACCGAGGGAAGATGGGGAGAACTATCTGACATTGCAGGTAAGAGAGCAAGGACATTGTACTTCAGGGGACTCTGTGTCAGAGATGGCAAAACAGAGTCAGGGAGAGAGCAGATGAGTCCCCTGGAGTGGGGCTTAGTACACATATCTTCCCTGGGTACTGAGCACAGCCCATACACCACAACCCTACTGCCGCAAAGGGCAAGGAGGCGGTCAGAGAACCCTGCAGACCAGCCATGGGCAGCTCCAAACTCTCCCACTTTGATTTTAAAATTTTATGTGAAATGAAGATTGTACTTCATTAGTATTACAGTCCATTAAACCTAAGCTACATTTATTGCAACACATCATTATTTTATTTGTAATACTTTATTTATGATAAAATAAACAATGAATTTTAAACTGTTGTTGCATTGATTGTAAAACACATTCCAATTTCCAAGGTGTTAAAAACATGAATAGCTGAGAATCAATGAGTTCTTTACTGGATATTGTCTGTGTTTGCTATAAAAACATCATTTTTCATCTTCTCATTCCAATCTTCAAATAAATTTGACTCAAAAAGTTGAGTCCTGTTTCATTCTTTGGTCTTTCATGCTCTCCGGCACTTTCTCACCAATTTCTGAAAGACTTCGTACTTCCATTTAGAAAATATTGTTTCAAATAAAATAAAATTTTAAAGAATTTTTAAAAAGGAAACATTCCCTAGAATTAATGGTATCATTTTGGGTGATGGGTGGGTAAAGGGAAGACAACAAAATCTTTTTCGGTTGAAACTCTGTGAACCCAGGAGAACTGAAGCTAAACACGCTCTTGTACACAAATTTACATGGCAGCATTTTTGCTAAAAGATATAAAAAGTGGAAACAAACCAAATGCCCATCAGCTGATGAATAGATAAATGCAATGTGCTCTGTTCATACAATGCAGTAATTTTTAGCCATTACAAGCAACAGAGTAATGACCATGCCCCAATATGGATGAATTCTGAAAACATAGTGAGTGGGATTAGATCAGTCATCAAAGACCATATATTATCCCCTTGGCTTCCCTCCCTCTTTACTGTTTCCATCTCTTGATTCCCCTCCCCTTTGACATTGAATACCTAATTCCCTGCCTCCTATTTATCTTTTACTTCATTCTCCATTTATACTCTGGGCTTCTCATATAACAGAAACCATGTGATACGTAAGCTTGTTTGCCTGATTTATTTCATTTAAAATTATGATCTTGGGTGAGGATTTAGCTCAGTGGTGCCACCACCTGCCTCACAAGCACAAGGTCCTGAGGTTGATTCCCCAGTACCAAATAATAATAATAATTTCAAGGCGCCTCCATTTCCCTACAAATGACTCAAGTTTATCTTTCTTTAGGGCAGAATAGTGCTCCATTGTGCGTAAATACCACATTTTCTTTATCCATTTATCTTTTGATGGACACTTAGGAAACTTCTAAGATTTAGCTATTGTGAGTTGTGCTGCTATATACATGGGTATGCATATATCACTGTAATATGATGCCTTAACTCTTTCGGAAAGTCACCTAAGAAGAGAATAGCCGAGTCAAATGAAATCTTCATTTTCTGTTTTTGGAAGAATCTCCACACTGATTTTGGTAGTGGTTGTACTAGTTCACGTTCCCTCCAACAGTGTAGAAAGGGTAGGAGAATAGAAGAGAAATTTGAATGTGTTATGTATGTGCAGCAACTCCACACAAGGAGTGTAGACATTATGTACCAAACAACTGTACCAATAAACCAAAAGAGACTGTGTGTTAAGATTCTATTCATATGAAACATGAAGGAGGAGGGAAATCCACAGAGATAAATGTGAATGATTGTTGAGGGCTGGATGAAGGAGGGAATTAACAGACATTGCTTTTGGGTGATGAAAATGTTCCGAAACTAGATTGTGGTGATAACTGTGCATCATCGTGCATATGCTAAAAGCCACTGACTCTTGTGTTCTAAAATGGTGAATTTGGTATTATGCCAATTTTATTTTAATTTGAAAATGGGTAAAAAGCCTACCAAAACTCCCATTCCTGTGTTATTTGTTTGTGTTCTTTCCCTGTTAAAAGCAGAAGAATCACTATTGCGTCTAGGTGTAGGAGATTCCTGCTGTGTGAATTGGATAACTGTACCTTCTAAAAGAGATTTTAAAAGTGTTTAAAATTGCAAAGAGATTAATGAGGGTAAAAACAAAGGAATATATAAAAAGAATTTTAAAAGCATAAATAGAAAATAATTAATAGCATAAATAGTAAATAGAAATTCTAGAAGTGAATTTAGCTCTAGACATTAAAAAATCATTAATGAACAACACAGGAGACTAAAAATAAGTAGTGAAGTAGAATATAGTTGAGTAGGAGGTGAAAGATAAAATGCTATATATGTGTACAAAGTAGAAAGAATATACAGCATATATTTAATAGAAGGAAAGTAAAATATGGAACCGAGTGATATTAAAAAAGAATCAGGTTGATGATATTTTTTCCATTTAAAAATATATGCAAATAACTTTTTGAATCTTGGGTAAGAAAATAAAAACAAGCCAATACCAAGAAACCTTATAGCACTATGATAGCATATCAGAGAAATATTCTTTAGAACTGCAGAAAAAATAACCAGAAAGATCAACCACAAAGTGATCATTATTAGCTAGACATTTGTCAGTTTACGTTCTATACCTAGGATAATCCATCACAATTAAAATGTAAAGCACTTTCAGATAGGAAAAAAATATCAGCTGGTTACTCACTGGTCTCTCCAAAAGGACTTCCAAAGGATAAGCTGCAGTAAAAAAGAGCACGAGCATACATAGGAAACATGAGGTATAAGAAGCAATGTTGAGAAAATAGCATTAAACTAAATACAGTTAGTACTAAATAAGTATAAATGTGGAATATACACATGCATACCCAAATGCACATACACTAAAGGAGGAGTTAGAAAGATACAAAAATAAAATACTTGCCAGTTACATAAAAAACAGGGAAAGGAATTTTACAGTTAGGAGGTCCTATGTACCACACAGAGAAAACAGAAATGTTGAATTTAAAGTCGTATTAAATGTAGCACACATGTTAAAATGGAAGAGTATTCTCTAATTAACTTAAGTGCAATGTATAATATCCAACTTTTAAAGAAGGAAAAAGTACTTTAAATCTAGTAGAAGGCAGTAAAGAATGCAAAACGAAAACAAGATAAGTCAAAACAATGGAGTGCTACTTAGCAATGGAAATGAATGTCTATATTTGAATGCATTACCGTGGGTAGACCACAAAAACATAGCATTCCAATTAAAAGAGAGTTGAAAATATTCATGTATAATATTAACATAAGTACCATTTAAATACTTGCAGGGTAGGTGTTATTTGTGGATTTGTATGAATGTAGAAATATGATTATGAATTTCTAACATCCTACCGGGATGAAAGCTGCTTCTAAAGATATAAGAAAGAGTTTAGGATTGAAAACACCCACAAAGTTTGCTACTATCTTGATGATCTTTAATTCTGTGTGAATTTGGAAGTACTTATGAAAAAATATTGACATTAGTTAAATCCAATTGTGTTATCCTCCACCATATTTGACTATACATTTGAAATATTCCGTACCTAGAAAGAAGATTCAATTCAAAATACCTCTTGCCCAAAGAGATTTCCCAGGTCCTTGATCTCTAGATTGCATCTGATAGCTCCTTCCTGTGTATTCACAGCAGTAAAAGCACCTGTAATATGGGGGATTAGATAGTATTCTCCAGAAGCATAGCTTGAGATGGTGCTGTATCATCTGGCATGTGATTTACAGAAAGAGAATATTTCAGTGAAATCCTGTAAGGGTTGGAGCTAAAATAGGACAAGGAAAGGAAAGGACAGGCCTGGTTTTAGGTACTGTCTAACATTGGCATGATCCACAGGAATAAGACGTTAGACCTAACCTACAGCCCAGGGCTGTCTTCCTGGAGAGAAGATGGTCTTTGTATGTCATTGTCTGTTTGGTATTGTCTCTTCTACTGGAGGTGAGTGGCCTTAGGCAGCCAAAGTCAGTTCTCCCAAGAAAGAGAATGTTAGTATTTCTCTACACTTAAAACAACAGTCAATGACCATCACAGCAGACAAGGGCAGCAAACAGCTTCTCCCACCCTATATCATCTTTGTGTACTCATGTATCTATGTTTCTAGACTATGAGTTCCTTCAATGAGAGGCTAGGTTGGACAAATCAAGGTTGGCCAAATTCTCTTTGGCTTTCAGACCCCCAGGCTTGCCTGAATCCTACTTAGTTCTCTGACCCGAAGGATCTCGATGATCTGAAATAACTTAGAATTGAATGACTCAGCAATGTTGAGAAGAGAATGTGAAAGGTCTGTTCCTGTAAAGATCTGCTGCATTTCTGTACTCATTGGTAGGACGTTGAACTGCTGAGGTCCCAACCGAGGAACACGCACACGAGTCCTTTCAGCAATGCAATGCGTTCAGCACCTGCTGCGTTCCCAGCACTGGTGACAAAAAGCTCCATGTATTACGCGTATGTCCTTCACAGGTTATGCTGTGGTAGTCAGCTAGACAAGACCTGGACTCCCGTCAACATTTCTTGAGGGTCTAGTTCTAGGACCTGTGGGAGACACAAGCTGAATATCAGATGCGGCCTGTCCACGAGTCATTACATTACATGCATATACACATCTACACGTTTTTAAATTTAATTCTTGGTAAGCAGTTATAATTGTAATAAATTCAGTTCAACAGTGTGATACATTTTCAGTACAATACATCATTCATTTACCCATTCCATTACTCACTGTTTTCTTCTTTAGCAAATATTTAATAAGGGCCTATTGTACACAAAATACTCAGAAGCACTGGGTATCGAGTGATGAACAATATAACATGGTTCATAAATTTACAGCTTATAGAAGAGCAGGGAAGATAAACATTCTAGGGTTGCTCATTAATAAATATATGTGA